CTTTGCACAAAATGGTGGAAACTAAACTCTTAACGAAGTGTCTTCGTAGATTCTTTTCGACGACGACTGCAGTGGAAAACTAAATGTGACTGTTGAATCCGCCTGCATAAGGTTTTACTTGTCTAACGCTTATTGGATACCATTTTTTCTACAGACTTTTCAGTCACCCATTAGCGAGTTTAGTTTTCTTCTGAGAGAGGGGGATTTATCATTCTTTCCGAGCGATCTAGTTATGATTCATGTTGTTCTTACGCGAATTTTCATATTTACACTATTATTAGCGAGACATACCCGTCTAGACATGTACGTTCTTGTTCGAACAGGATTTACCCCTATCTGATTTACGATATTGTCCGAGATCAACGGTTCTCAGATTAAAAACTATGCTTTTGTGTATTTTTTTTTGTTAACGAATAAAATGCTCTTAAACTAGGAATGTTAAGTGAGTCCTTCATATTTTTTTTTGTCACATTCGAGCGCTCTAGTTATGATGTATGTTATCCTTAAGTGAGTCTTTAATATTTTCACTCTTCTTTTTTTTTTTTCACCAATTTCTTTTTTATTGGCTAGACATATCCGTCTAGACATGTACGTTCTTGTTCGTACAGAATTTACCCCTATCTGATTTACGATATTGTCCGAGATCGACGGTTCTCAGTTTAAAAGCTATGTTTTTTGTTTATTCGTCATAAAATCATAGATTCCACTGGACGTAACACTTAATGTATGCGTCGACCAATGATAGTTAATCCTCCTCAACTTCGACTATGATTCGTTGAAATAAAAATATTCTCGAATTTTCATGAAATGCAACACCCACCCTTAGTAGCATATAAAAGCGAAGAGATCGGTATACACACTGTCAGTAGTCGAGTTGAAAGATTTTGAGAGTTTTATCGCGTTATACCAAGTCTTTTCCGAGTGTTCAATAATAGTGTTCAGTTCGAGTGCTCAGTGACAATTTTTTAGAGTTAATTTTTTTATTTTTTACCGTTAATTAAATATCGTTATTTGTCGTGTTTAAAATTTTTCACTCAAGAAGATGGAACCTGAAAATGTTCCATCAGAAGAAGAAGAATTTGGAAGCGATATTGAAGAAGAAGAATTAATCCTTAGTGATCGAGAAGAAGAGGAAGAAGAAGAAGAATCAGAACCAGAGTCAGATTGGGGTATATCTGATTCATGTTATGAAAGCGATAACGATATTGATACCGATGTTTCAAGACGTTTAGTGACACGAGCTGAAGTGAACACATTGGATGGCACAAATAGAGTGTGCGCAATCTATTTTTATTACACACCAACCAACAACAACAGCACTGAAAAAATTTGTGGACAATGTATTGTGAGAGTTAATGATTTATTTTCACGACTGTACGCCGTTCGCGAACATACCACTGCTAGACACTGGGATATCAGAGGTATGTTTTGCACGGAATGCAGAGGTGATCTGCACAAAACTTACCCGTGCAATCAGTGTCCCATTTGCACATCATAAAAAAAAAAGTAAACACGTGATTGTAAAAAAAAAAAACTATTTTAGTGAAAAAACATGGATCAAACGGAGCGAGATTTGATAGAGCAAGCTACCCTGCTTAGTACCAGAGAAGAGTACATCGCGTGGGAACAGCGATGCGACGAGTTCATCGAATCTTTGGAAGAACAGAGTCGGATAAAACGCCCGCGATTATCGATCGGTAATAGACAATCGTTAATCGCTCGTATCGCTCGACTTGAAGGTTTAAAAGATTCGGTGCGCGATCGTTTTGTGCAAGTGGGTGCCGGGTACAGTGCGGGACTTCGATGGCGCGAGATCGAAACGGCGTTCGAAAGCCGTATTCTAACAGGCGCGGTGATAAACTCTAATCACATCGAGCCTCGCCAATTCCTCGAAGACGCGAGTGAAATTGTGCTCGAACGTGTGCGAGATGTCATGCAGAGACATAATTCTGTAAAAATAAATACAGTGTTCAACGGTGAGTTTGTATCAGGTGATAAACATGCCAATAAAAGTGTGAGTACGAGAAACTATGAACTTTTTCGTTCGTCAGATTTGCAAGAGTGGTACGCGTCGCGCGTCGTCGAGCCAATCCTGGCATCGCTAGACGAATTCCAGGAACGTGATAGTGGATGGGCACTATCGCGTATCCTCAATTTGACTATTAGTGTGAACAAGTACAATCCTCTGCACGCCGGTTGTGACATTGAGTTATCGAAAAAAATTACGGACAAGAGAGCGACGATTAACGTGCAATCTCTGGACGATGCGTGCTTCGCGTGGTCGGTGGTAGCCGCTCTGCACCCGGCTAAACAGCATACGGAGCGAACGTCTTCGTATCCGCACTACTCATCGGTACTCAATCTCACGAACATCGAGTTTCCGATGACATTAAACCAGATAAAGAGATTTGAAAATCTCAATGGCATCTCAGTCAACGTATACACTATCGAGAAAGAAATTCTTCCGTTACGGCTCACCGATGACAAGAGGGACAAGCACGTCAATCTACTATACGTGGAGAATCCTCAGGATGATACACGGGACAAAAACGTGGGGCACTTCGTCCTGATCAAGAACCTGTCACGCCTCGTAGGATCGCAAATCAGTAAAAAAGAACATAAGAAATATTTCTGCGATAGGTATGTATAATAATAATAATAATAATAGTGATGATAATGATGACGATAATAATAACAGTAATACTAATAATAATAATAACTTATTTTTATTCTTTTTTCCAGATGCCTGCATTACTTTAGCTCAAGTGCAAAATTAGAGCTCCACAGCACGGATTGCGGGAAATTAAACGATTGCGCGATAAGGCTGCCGAGCGAGGACGACAAGTGGCTCAAGTTCAAGAATCACTGCAGGAAGGAGCGCGTCCCGTTCGTCGTCTACGCAGACCTGGAGTGCGTGCTGGAAAAGATGGATACGGAGTCCACATCATCCACGTACACTTATCAACATCATCAGGTATTTAGTATAGCGTATTACGTACACTGCTCGTACGACAGCTCACTGTCGGGTTATAAGTTTCGTCGCGATAATAATTGTATAGCGTGGTTCGCGGACGAATTAAAAAATTTAGCACATAATGTGCAATCTGTAATTTCGACTAATGTTCCCATGGCAGATTTTACACGCGATGACTGGCAAAAATTTAACAGCGCCACGCACTGTCACGTGTGCGAAAAACCGTTCGCGAAAGACGATAAGCGAGCACGCGATCATTGCCATTTGACCGGGCGATACAGAGGCCCCGCGCATTCAAATTGTAATTTAAATTATAAAGATTCACATTGCATACCCGTAGTCTTCCATAATTTATCAGGATACGACGCTCATTTTATTATCAAAGAAATAGCTACAGCGTACGAAGGACGCGTTAATCTTTTACCGATAACAAAGGAAAAGTACATCTCATTTAGCAAACACGTCGACAGCACCATAGATGATAAAAAAAATTGCATACAATTACGTTTTATAGACTCATATAAATTTCTCGCCTCAAGTTTAGAAAAATTAGCGTCTTTTCTCAGCAAGGATAAGCTACGGGTAGTGCAACGTGAATTTTGTAATTTATCTGCAGAAAATTTCGACTTATTGACGCGAAAAGGTATATTTCCGTACGAGTACATTGACAGCGTTGAAAAACTGGATGATACATGCTTACCACCTCGCGAATCGTTTTACAGTTCATTGACGGATAGTACGGTATCTGAGAGTGATTACGCGCACGCCTTGAACGTATGGCAGCAGTTCTCCATTCGAACCCTCGGCGAATACAGTGACTTATATTTAAAAACGGACGTTTTGTTGTTGACTGACATTTTTGAGAATTTTCGAGATAGTTGCGTTGCGAGTTACGGGCTCGATCCCGCGTATTATTACACCTTACCGGGCTTCACGTGGGATGCCATGTTGAAGCATACAGGTGTAAAATTTGAACTTCTAACTGACGTCGACATGGTTCTTTTCATCGAACGCGGTATACGTGGCGGTCTGAGCCAGTGTTCAAACAGATATGCGCAGGCCAACAACAAGTATATGCAATCGTATGATCCGTCGAAACCGTCGACGTACTTGATGTATTATGACGTCAACAACTTGTACGGTTGGGCAATGTGTCAACCATTGCCATACGCCGATTTTCAATGGGTCGACGATGTAGAAAATTTTGATGTTACGACCGTCGCGCTCGATTCACCGACAGGCTATATTCTCGAGGTGGACTTGGAGTATCCGCAACATCTTCATGACGTTCACGCGGACCTACCGTTTTGCCCGACGCGCGAGAAACCACCCGGTAAGCGTGAAGACAAGCTCCTCGCAACATTGTGCGATAAGCAGCGGTATGTCATACATTATCGCAACCTGCATCAATGTACTCGTCACGGTCTCCGTATCACAAAGATCCATCGCATACTACGATTCACACAATCTCCATGGCTTCGCGATTACATAGAACTAAACACAAAATTTAGAACTTTGGCTAAGAATGATTTCGAGAAAAATTTATACAAACTTATGAATAACGCGGTTTTTGGTAAAACCATGGAGAATGTGCGCGATCGCGTCGACGTAAAATTATTAACAAAATGGGTGGGGAGATACGGTGCAGAAGCAATGATCGCAAAACCGAATTTTCACAGTAGTAGCATTTTTTCAGAAAATCTGGTCGCGATAGAATTGCGTAAACTCGAGGTGAAGTTCGACAAACCGATATACGTGGGTATGTGCATCCTCGATATATCCAAGACATGTTTGTATGAATTTCACCACGAATATATGGCACCGCTGTTTCGCGAAAATTGTAAAATTATGTATACCGATACAGACAGTTTAATTTATCATGTAGAATGTGACGATGTATATGAAATTATAAAACGCGACATAAATAGATTTGACACTAGCGATTACGCGGTCGACAACGCATACGGTATTCCGCTAGTAAATAAGAAAGTACCGGGTCTTATGAAAGATGAGAACAACGGCGCGATCATGAGCGAATTCGTTGGACTTAGAGCGAAAATGTATGCTTTACGTGTACAAGGAAAGAAGGATACGAAGAAAGCGAAAGGTATCAAGAGCAACGTTGTAGCGCGATCTATAACATTCGAGGATTACACGCGATGTCTCAATGACACAATCGAGATGACGCGCAAGCAGTCATGCATTAGATCAAAGTTGCACGAAGTATACACGATATCCGAAACGAAAATCGCTCTAAGTCCACATGATGATAAACGATATATTGTGTCAGGTTCCACCAATACGCTGCCATGGGGACATTACCAGTGTAAATAAAACTTTTGTATGTATAATATATTTAATATGTATAATGTATAGTACGTATGTATGTATGATGTATGGACGTATGTATAGTACGTATGTATGTATGATGTATGGACATATGTATATATTAATGTACGTGTGGACATATGTATATATATTGATGTACGTGTGGACATATGTATGTGTGGACATATGTATATATTGATGTACGTGTGGACGTATGTATCTATAGTATGTATAGTATGTATAGTATGTGTGTAAGTTATGTAGGGTAATGTATGAGTAATGTATAGTATATGTGTAAGTTATGTAGAGTAATGTATAAGTAATGTATAGTATATGTGTAAGTTATGTAGGGTAATGTATGAGTAATGTATAGTATATGTGTAAGTTATATAAGGTAATGTATAAGTAATATAATATGTATACATTTAAAAAAAATTTTTTTTTTGTTTCTTTTATTATTATATGTAAATATATAAAGACTTGTACAATTTATAATAAATTTATTATTATTTTTACAACACATTATCCTTATACCTACATATAATTTGTAATAAATGTTATTATTTTTATAACACGCTATCCTTGTGTATCCAAGAGTTGTGTGAATTATCGAATCCTAACCATTTCACGTAAACCTTGTCTCCTTTCTTACGCAACACCTTTTCAACTAGATATACGTCGGGATTAGCGACGCGATGCAACTCATACTCGTAGAATCCTCCAGCGACAGGTTTTCCGCGGTAATCTTCCAGAAGATACGTCACGGGATTAGTCTGCTGCACTTTGACGATTCGAAACACCTCCGTGGTCCAATTTGGTGTGTAACCCTTCTCAAAGATCGTCTTGAATTTGCTCACGCGTACAGCGTTGCCCACTTTGAATTTTGCGGGACCAGCGATCTTCATCGCGCTGTACACCGTACCCAAGAGTCTTTCAGCGATAGCGGGAGTTACGTCAGAAGGTCGCATGCCGATGGTGCGATGCTTGCGCGTGTTGTAATCCGACACGAGACGCGGCAGCATGTCGATCCATTTATAATTTCCATTGTGCGTAAATTGTTTCCACATGTCGTTTTTCAACGTGCGATTGAACCGTTCGACGACCGACGCCTTCATTACGGAATACGTTGAATAATGATTTATGTTGTGCTCCTTCAAGAGTTTTTGTACGTTTGCGTTGTAAAATTCTTTTCCCATATCGGTTTGCAAGTTTTTCGGACATCTTCCGTCGCCTCGAATTATTTTTGCGATCGCTGTAGCCATCTCATTTCCACTCTTGGTTTTGAGCGGTAAGGCCCATGCGTGCTTACTCAGCACATCGATCACGGTGAGAATATAGTGATATCCTTTGTTGAATCGTGTGTAAGGGCGCATCTCGACCACATCGGCCTGCCACAGGTCATCGTATCCCCGTACTATGACGCGTCTGCGTGGAAAATTTTTTCTCGCTGGAGCGTGCAAGTCTTCTACCAGTCGCCACTTTTCGAGATTTTTCTTCTCAGACATTTTTTTTCTTTTTTTTTATTTTATTCTTGGTATAATGCGTATAATGTCACAAAGATCTTACGCAAACGTTGTTGACCGATACTTCAGTGTCGACTAAAAGACGACTGCATATCCCATTTCAATTTATAATAAGCCCAGCTTCACGAAGTTCCTCGATAATGGACAAAATTTCGTTATCGTGAGCGTTGTGACCCGCTTGACGTGAAGCCTCGAGCAATCGGAGGCGATCCACGAGCTCGTTAGGATCGTCCCAATGAATATAATCGATTTTATTGTCGTTTAGTGTCATGGCGAGTGGTATCACACCTTTTCCTCCGTTTCTTTTACCTGACCCGTCGTTTAGTGTCATGGCGAGTGGTATCACACCTTTTCCTCCGTTTCTTTTACCTGACCCGTCGTTTAGTGTCATGGCGAGTGGTATCACACCTTTTCCTCCGTTTCTTTTACCTGACCCGTCGTTTAGTGTCATGGCGAGTGGTATACCTGTTCCAACTTGTATTTTACTTGATACAATGGGTGCTATTATATTCTTATATTTGTACCCTTTGTTACCCAATATTGGATTATCCGCATTATGGCTGCGTCTATGAGCATTTGTTGCCAACAGTATACTTTTATACGCTAGTTTGTCATTCTCTGTGTAAATAGCGTCATCGGGAATTCTCTTGAAAATTAATTCGTACAATCCAGTCCCTTTGTACTTTACTCCATCTATGATCACAAAGAGTCATTCGTGTCTACATCGAACCGTTTGTCACCGAGCATCGTGCCGTTCTCGTTGAGATATACGCCATAAACGTGATCGATCGCCTTTTCTCTGTCACCACTGAGAAGCATGTTTACATATTTTTGTCCGAGTGGTCCCAATTGATTATTCAACTCCTCACGAAATTGTCGCATTTGCAAAGATTGCTTAACTAATGTTTCAAGCGGTTTATTCGGCGTTTTATAAACGTCTTCGACTGCGGGTACGTGCGAACGTTCGTACGATAATTTACGCGGTTCAAGCGATGTAGAATTGAATGAATCCGACGTCACGTTCGATTCTTTCGTACGTTGCTTTGACGGTGTTAATTGAAGCCATGCATTATCCATCCAGTAATTATCATCATCATCATCATCTTCTTCTTCAAATTTTCTTTTCTTAGTATTTTTATACTTCGTACTGTTGACTTCTTTCTTAATCGGTTGAGATTCCTCGCCAGCAGCAGTGTTTTCGATAATCTGTTTTAGAGGTTCGACAACAGGCTTAAAGTGTTTCTCCAATGCTATATTTTCGTCTATTTTGCCTGTTTTTAAAGCGCGATACTTTTTACGAATCGAATCACTTGTTTTCGAGATTTGTTTCGCTATTCTCTCGCGATCCTTGAGCTCTTTGCTACTATCCATGTTGCACTTACGCGGGAGAACGTATCGTAGTTGACGTATCGACAACGACTAACCACGTTACGGTATCGCAAACTCGTTAAATCCTTTTCTGTATCGCCCATTCGTAAAAGCACTGTCTTTGTCTATCACTACGAATCCATACTTTTGTTGCCAACAGCATCGACACAGTTCACAGAAATCCTCGTAAGACATGTCGGTGTTTACGTGGTCATTGTATACGTGTTTAAGGTTGGTACCATCTTGTTTGAACAGGATCAATAGATTCGCATTATCGCGTATGAGATGCTTCGGTATCTTTGCATACGTCTGACAGAGATAGAAACAATCGACATCCGCGTGTCGACCCATCGCAAAGTACTCTCTATACGTCATCGAAGACAAAAATGGAATTTGGAAGCGCCTCGTTCGATGGAACTACATCGCTGTTATTGGAAAATGTAAAATAACCTATTTCTTCAATCGGTTCTAATAAATTCTCCAAGTATCGATATTTTGGCTGTTGCAACGATTTCGAGTACACGTACACGTTCTCGAAGCGTACGCCATGTGGACTTTCCAGCAAACTTATCAACACGTTTGTTTTACCGCAGTTCGATGGACCGCAGATGACACCGCGTATAGAAATCGGCAGCATGTTTCCATGCTTGCGCATTTCTTTTTCAGTCTGTACTTTATCATCGACATTAGTCACTTTGATCGTCTGCGATTGTCGCACGAACTTCATATCTTCTCCTTCCACGACACTGATACAAAATGAAAACAAAGCGACATCGAGAGCGGACCTATTTATAGTAGCGCGTTGAGCGAAACCGCTCAGTAATCGAAATGCTTCTTATCGTGTCGGACAACTGCGATGTACATAGTTTAACAGCCGAAGAGTTGGAATACATACCGAAAATTATTTTGCTACGACAGTTTAAGAATTATATAGATCGACTGTGGGACAGATTGCCTGAATATATAAAGGCTGATTCAGAGGTACAGCAACATCGTCGGTGCTTGAAACATTACAATTTGCCCTGTCATCGATCGCACATCGATGGTCCAGCGTCGTTTATAAAAGATTGTAACGAATGTCAACGACAAGAGGTTGCGGCCTTTTAAATCACGCGATAAACGCACTTCCGATCGAATTGCATATTCCAGGATATCAATTTTGCGGTCCAGGAACACGTTTAGTGAAGCGATTGGCTAGAGGCGATCGAGGCATTATTCCGCTGGACGAGGCGTGTCGCGAACACGACATAGTTTATTCGCGGTGTAAAGATCTCGCGAAACGGCACGTAGCTGACAACATACTCGCAGAGGAGGCGCGGAAACGCATTACCGCGAAAGATTCGACTCTCGGAGAGCGAGCTGCTGCTACAGCTGTCTGGGCGGCTATGAAAGCCAAGACGAAAATCGGTATGGGCTTGAAAACGAAGAAAAAGAAGTCTACGAAAAAGCGAATACTTCCGGTAGCAAAACGCGGTGGTATCTTACCTATGTTACCGCTGCTGGGAGTCGTAGGCTCGTTGGTCGGTGGCGCGGCAGGAGTCGCGAAGGCTATAAACGATAGTAAATCCGCGCAACGTCAACTGGAAGAATTGAAACGTCATAATCGCGTCATGGAAGGTCATGGAGTTTATCTCGCCCCGTACAAGCGTGGTCGCGGAATCTCAAGGAAAAAAATTAAAAAGATTGGAAAAAAAAAACGTCAAACAATTGCCAAAAATGCCAAAGGGTGTAACTACCAACGTACAACTACAACAACTGGCGAAACGTATGCGTATTCCATATTTTAGAGGTATTTTTATGCGTACTGCGTTACCGACAAAGGGAGTGTATCGAAACGAGAGCGGTATCGTAAATTTGGATAATGCCGAGGGATCAGGTACTCATTGGGTGGCGTACGCGAAGCGAGGAGATCGTGTTATTTACTTTGACAGTTTCGGCAATCTTCGGCCACCGAAAGAATTGGTGCGATATCTGAACGTGACGCAAATCGAATATAATCGTACGCCTTATCAACGATACGATCAAAGTAACTGTGGACAACTGTGCCTACAGTTTTTACAGATGGTTGATGATCAATTTAAGAACTGACATCGCACTGTTTCAACTCAGTATTCG